TTTTTTTTTTCAGAAATCACAGTTTTCCCCATGCCCTGGGAGGCAGAATCTCCATTCCCTCCCTCCATTTCCTTGGGGAAAGCAGACAAGAAATGGGAATATCCTGCTCAGAAATGTCTTCACCAAGAGACAGCAGATGGAGGAAGAGACCTTGGCACTGGAAAAGTTGTCCATTATTAATTTAGATTTAATTTAGATTATTGCCCATCACAAAATATCTCCTTGAGATGCCTTGGCAGAGGAAGGCACCAGATGAGGCTGAAGAATTAATAAAGCCTGATCTAATTTTTAAGCTGGAGTTGAGCTGACACCTCCTGACTTTTAAGCACCAAACAGATCCCAGGAATTAAAGCAGCACAGGAAAGAGGAGAAAAAAAAAATTTTCCAAAGCTCTCCAGGCTCAGTGCTCTGAATTTGGGACCATTCCCAATGGACAAAACTTAAAATTCCTGAAGTTTAAATACCTGGCCAGGCTCTAGTGAGCTGAAAAATATGAAATGAGTGCCTTGGAGGGCAATGGGAAAAGGAGATAAAAATTGGGACCTTTTGCCCAAATTTCTCCCAAATACCTCGCTGGAAGAAGTAAATGAGCAGAGTTAGAGATGGGAACCATTGAAACCTGAATGGAGCCATTCTGCCTGGAATTTTGGGATAAATGGGTTCTTTAATGTCCTTTGGTGCCTCTAAAATAACCCAAACCAGCCCCGAGGCCGCTGGAGCCCCATTCCAGCACCAACACCAAAATAAAACAGTGAAATAATAAAACACAGGAGTAAAACCAGCCCTGAAATAACGAAATTTTTTTTTTTTTTTTAGCTAACAGAGGGAAGAGGAGAGTCTGAGTTCCCTCCTGTGCTGATCAGTGTTATCCCACGTGGAGTGATAACACTTTTTTTTTTCCCCACTTTTCTTTCTGGCACATCCAGGTTTGACAAAGTTTTTTAGTTTTTTTTAATTTTTTTTTTTTTCCAGCCTCCAATCTGATAGCCTGCTTTTGTCTGCCAGCTTTTTTTCCAGGAAAAATCCATTATTCCATATCAATTGTTCCTATTGTTATACTAAACCCTACTGCAACTTTGTTTCCCAAATATTCCTGACCCCGAGGGTTTTTTGTTTTTTTTTTCTTTTTTTTTAAACCATAACTCTGCCTGTTTCAATGCAGGTGATATTTTAATTTATCCTGAGAGGTCCTGGGTGAATTCACCCCATGGATGTGAGCCCAGGATCTGCTTTAAATGTGCTGTTGCACAAAGGAGTGCACGAACAAAATTTTGGATTAAATCTTAATTTAATTAA